AGGAGGAGGAAGAGGAGGAGAAGCAGGAAGAGGAGACGGGGGATGAGGGCAGTGGGGAACGAGGAGTGGTGGGGCAATGGGAGGAGCAGGAGGGGCAGGAGCAGGAGGAGGGAGAGGGGGGCAGGAAGGGTCCCGGGAGGAGATGTCGGTGGTGGCGGGCCTCAGCACACCGCCCGCCAGCCCGGCGCCGAGCAACGGGCCAGCCACCTCGCCCCCGGGGCAGGCAGGTAGGAGCAGACGACAGCGGCGGCGGACCCTCCCGGGCGCTGGAGGCCCACACTCACACACACACACACACACTCACTTTTGGCGTCGTGGCCAAGCGCGCAGCGGCGCGGCGGGGGCAATCGGGCGAGAGAACGCGCGCGACCGGCCCTACGACTACAGATGCGACTACATACCTACTACGACAACTACCATTCGCACACACGCCTCGACTCCGCGGTGCCCTTATCACACCCCCATGCCACGGGCGCGCCCACGCTGTGTCGCTCTCGAGGCCAGGCAGCGCCAGCGCCGTGCGCGCCGCCGCGGGTGCCGCCGCCGCCGCCGCCGCGGCCGCCGAGGCCCGATGCCGCTGGTGCCGCCGCCGCCGCCGCTGTCGGCCCCCGCCGCCACTGTCGAATTCGAGAGCGCCGGCGCCGTCGGCGCACGCCGCCGCCGTCGAAGGCCCGCCGCCGCCGCCGCTGCCGTTGGCGCCGACGCCGCCGTCGAAGGACCGCCGCCGTCGGAGGCGCCAGCACCGTCGGCGCCCGACGGCCCGCTGGCCTGCCGCAGGGCCAGCACGGCCAGGTGCGCGCCCAGCGGCAGCGGCCGCGCGCCACCGGGCGCCAGGACGTCGGGCGGGGCCGGCGCGGGCGGCTCGGCGCCTCCAGGCATCGCGGCGCCGATGACGGCTGGCACCATCTTCGCCCGCTCCACGTCCGCGTCCGCTCCCCTCGGCGGCGGCGCCACCGTCCAGGCCTCGCGCGCGGCAGCGTCGAGCTTCATGCCCAGGGCCATCAGCAGAACCGGCACGCTGCAGCGGCCGCCGTACGCGACGGCCGCGGTGAGCGGCGCCAGCCCGGCCTCCACCGCAGCCGCGCTGAGCGGGCCCGCCGGGCGCAGGCCGCGCCAGGCGAGGCCCGCGGCCGCCGCCAGCAGGCAGGCCTTCACCGGCGGGTTGAGGACCTTGGCGCGCCACTCCTGAAACGATATCGCGCCTGTCAGGATGGGGAAGCCGATCCCCCACCGCGCCATCACCCAGAGCGAGTAGGAGGTCAGGAACAGGAACTCCACGCGCGCGCGCAGCTCCTCGGCGGCGCTCTCGCTGGGCTGCCAGAAGCCCCGCACGGCGCCAGCGCCCTCGCCCAGCAGCGCGCGGTGCGGCCCGAGCGCCAGCACCAGGGTGAGCGGCACCGCGAAGGAGTTCGGGAAGGCCACGGCCGTCATGAGGAGCCCCCGGTGCTCGCGGGCCCCGGGCACCGCGAGGGACACCGCGGCGCCGGCGGCGAGGCCGCAGGAGACCACGCAGAGGCACACCACCGCCAGCGGCCAGATCGAGGCGATGTCGGCCGGCGTGATGTGCGGGGTCATCCTGCTTGGCGGCGCGCACAAAGAGGTGGAGGGAGGGGGAGGGCTTCTTAGAAGGAGGCTGCTTCTTAGAAGGTGCCGGCCTTGCATCACTAGACAAGGCCCGCGCCTTCTGGGAAGTAGGGGTGCTCCTGATAAGCCATCCCCCCCCCCCCACACCCCCCTCTGCGCGTGGCTGACCTGCTCAGGATGAGGCAGGGCAAGAACACGGATGTCACGAGCTTGTCCAGCACCTTCTCCGACTCTTCCGTGATCGCGCCCTGGCGCCGCGCGTAGACACCGAGCGACGCGCACGCGGCGACGGTGCAGACGGACCTCGCGGACGCGGTGGCCAGCAGCAGCAGGTCGTCCATGGCCGCACACCAGCGGGTGCCCGCTGGGCCTGGCCTTGAGCCAAAAAGGCTACAGGGTGACGACAATAACAGGGTTTGGATGACCCAGCTCGGGTTCGAACATGGAGGTGGGCACCCGATAAAGAGGGGCTCCCGCTCAAGACTTCCTCGCGGTTCCCTCACAAACCAGGTTCCCGCTCGAACATTCCTCCGGATTCAGAAATGAGGAGGCCAAGAGTGACGGCAGTTACAGGGTTTGGACGATCCCGCTCGGATTCGAACATGGGGGTGGCAAACCAGGCTCCCGCTCGAGGCTTCCTCAACATGAGTGTGCGAGCGTGTGTGTGAGTGAGTGAGTGAGTGAGGGAGTAAGTGAGTGTGCATGCGACAATCATGATGATGGTGATGATGATGATAATGGTCGGTGAGTGGCAATGATGATGACGACGACGATGACGACGACGGCGATGATGATGATGATGATGATGATGATGATGATGATGATGATGATGATGATGATGGTGGTGGTGGTGGTGATGGTGGTGGCGCTGATGATAATAATGATGATAATGCGGATAATGCTGGTATTAATAATAATATTGCGAATAACATTAATATTAATCGTACTGATAATAAGAATAATAAGAAGAAGAAAAAAAAGCAGAACAATGCTGGTAATAATCATAAGAATGAGATTGACAAAAAATAATCATAATATTAATAATATTACTAATACTAATAATCATAATGATGGTAGTAATAATAACAACAATAATAGTAATTAGAATGGTATTAATAAAAATAACAATAATAACAAAAATGATAATGAGGAGGAGGAGGAGGATGATGACGATGATGATAATGCTGGTGGTGGTGATGACGGTGAGTATGCTAGGAGGTGAGGAGGTGGGGGGGAGCGAGATTATTGCGCGGGGGGGGTGGAAGGGAAAACCATAACCCCAATGGGGATGTGGGGGAGAACCCGCCAGACCTGCCCCATACCTGATGGCATATACCCCCTCTGACAGAATCCCACTAGGGCTGCAGACAGCTTCCATGACATCCTACCAGGGCTCCTTAACAGCTCAGCCCTCCTGCATCTTAGAATGATCCCCATCAAAGCTGCTCACGTATCTAATAGCTCCACTGGAGCGCCCTACAGCTCCGAGGCAGATTGCCTGTGCTCTGCCTCAACCACACATGGAATCCGACTGTAGCCCCATACAGCTCTGATGGAGTTCTACCACGACTGCATACATATCTATCACGCAATCCTCATCGTGCCATCATACGAATCCCATACAAACCCACCGTGGTTGCCGAGAGGCACGAGTAGGAACATAAGTGTGTCCCCACAGAGCCCAAATAACAAACGATTAGAGCTGCCGACATCTCCAAGCGCTGCCTGCACGCTGCCTGTAGCTGGCTGCAGCTCAAACGCACGCCCATGCGAACTACCGCCCGCTCAGGTAGAAAGCTGCATGAGTTACCTACAGCTCTCTTAGAATCCTACCAGGGTTGTCTACAGCCCATAGAATCCTATTAGATGTACCTGCATTCCCAAAATATGACAACCTAAGCTGTCAAACGTTCTGGGGAGATCCCGTTAGCAGCTGTCCTAAGCACGCAGAAAATCTGTAAGAAGCCCTTTCAAGCACAGAGAATCCCACGACATCCTTGAATTCCGTCGGGTGTACTCGACCATATCCAAAGTCCCTTGCGAATCCTGGAGAGCAAATCAAGATGGCGTAGGATGCCCGACAGGTACCGTCGAAATCGATAAGTGTAGCTTGGGCTCCGTAATCGGACAACAACAGCATGAAGGCATAATTGTGACTATTTGGGGTGCGCTACGACTCCACGGGGTATGCTTCGGACTCTTCTGCTGAATAGTAACAACCACGCGAGTTTCGCGCGCACTTAGGTTACAGCATGCTCTTGTTGTAGTCTGAAGTGTTCTGCATCGGAGGACATATACTGTCAGGCTCGAAATGTCAGTTGGACTTTCCCCTCTTGGTCTTCTCTTTGGGCAGTTTTAAGTCGTCTTGAGCGCCTCTTGGACCGTCTCGGGGCTCTCTTGGGCCGTCCTGGGGCCCTCTTGGAGGCCTCTTGGGCCATCTCGGGGCGATCTTTAGGGGCTTTTGGACCGTTTTGGACGCTGGTAAGACAAAAAAACAATCTGTTGAAAATGTTTGTTTCCCTCAGGGATGCAATAATTGTGGCCTCTTGGGGCCCTCTCGGGGCGCATCTTGGAGCCTTCTCAAGACATGTTCGGGGCCTCTTGACCCGCCTTGAAAAACTATTCGAGTGTGTCCGGCCCTGTCAGGCCGCTCTGGTCGATCTGGGCGACCTCCAACGCAGTTTGGAGCTGCGGGGGGGAGGGGCCAGGAGGCCCCGAGGGGGTCAATCATGTCGTGGGCCAAAGAGAATCCGGGAGGGCGTCCCCGCCCGGGCCCAGGCCCCCAGTACCACCAGCAGCACCAGCAGCACCACCAACAGCAGCACCAGCACCAGCACCACTCTCGCAAGACAGCTTGCGTGACCGCTCCTGGGGTCCTCTTGAAATCCTCCTGGGGCCATCTTGGGATCCTCCAGGAGCGTTCAGGATCCTCGAAGACGGCTTAGGAGGGCCACAAGAAGGCCGCAGGGGCGTCCAATGGGCCCCAAGAGCAGCCAAGCATTGGTCACACCAGCGTTCTCTCGCGTGACCGCTCTTGTGCTCCTCTTGAAACCCTCTCGTGGCCTTCTTGGAGCCCCCTTGGGCGATCTCGGGTCCGCTGTAGGGCCGCGTAAACAATTTGTCGAGCCGTTTATGGCCGTGCGAGGGTCCTCCTAAGGCCACTATAAAGCCGCCTTAAAGGCCTCTGGGGCTCTTTTGGGGAACTCTTGAATCTTGAAGTGGATTGGGGCACTCTTGGGGCCCCTTAGACAGTGTTGGTGCGAACTTGGAGGCTTATTGGTCCGCCTTGGACCGTCGGAAAGCTGTAAAGGCGAGAGAGCGAAAATCCTGCAAAACCTTTTGAAAATCTATGACTTTGGCTCGTTGGAGGGCCTCGTAGAGGCCTCGTGGGGACCCCCTGGAGGCATCTTGGGAGCATCTTCGCGCCTCTTCGGGGCGTTTCAGGGGCCTCTCGGGGCTTCTGGGGGACCTCTCTGGGCGGAGGGCTCGAATGTCTGTTCGGAGCCCCCGTCTGGACCCTCCCCGAAGTCGTTTTGGAAGCCTCTGGGGCAGTCTTGGAAACCACTTCGGCCGTCTTGGAGGAGCCCTCTCCGGGCGTCTTTGGGACTCTCTTGGGAGACCCTCGGGCAGCATTGTGGTGATCTTGGAGGCCTCTTGGCGGCGTCTCGGGCCGCCCTGGAACGTTGGCAAGCCGAGAAAGCGAGAACGCGCAAATCACTCCGAAAGCTCTTGGGAAATTGACGAAACTGGTTTTTTGAGGTCCTCTGAGAGGCCTCGCGGAGGCCTCGTGGAGCCGCGCGGAGGCCTCTCGAAAGTCCGGGCCTCTCGGGGGGCCAGTGGGGGTCTCTCGGAGTTTCCTGGAGGCCTCTTACTGCCGAGGGCTCCAAATGTCCGCTCGGAGCCCCCGTCCAAACCCTCTCTGGGGTCGTATCGGAAGCCTATGGGGCCGTCTTGGAAACATCTTGGGCTGTCTTCGAACCGCTTCGGGGTCGTCTTCGAGCTCTCTCGGAGCGTCTTGGGGGTCTTCTGGGAGCTTATTGGACGGCATTGGGCCGTCCTTGGCGGTGTCTCGGACCGCCTGGGAGCATTGGGAGCCGAAAAGGCGAGAACACAAAAATCCATCCAAAACCATCAAATCAATGGGATTTACCTCTTGGGAAGTCTCGTGGAGGCTCTTGGGAGGCCCCCACGAAAACTCTTAGGCAGTACGGTGCCAATTCTGGCCAGTCTGGGGCCGTCATGGCCCATTTTGGCGGTCACGAAACGCGTTTTCAAGCAACCTGGGGCCGTCTTCGGGTGATTTTGGAAAGCCCCCCGTGCGCCGGCAAGGCCCCGGGCAGCCCGACGCTTGTGGTCGGGGGGGCCAGCCCGGGGGCCCCCGGACACTGTTCCCCGTTGCATGCCCGAGTTCCTTGGGGCTCTCTGTGCTTTGTTGGACACGCCGACGATTCCAAACAAAAAACGCGCAGGAGCCCCTGGAGATTATTCTACGATTCCGTGAAGGTAACATGGAGAATCCGTGCGAAACCAATGCGACACCCTACTGCCCCGTAGGATGCCCCACACAAATCCCAAGGTTTCTGATTAAATCCGTAGGCCTGAGGGCGCCTGAGGGATTCCACAGGACTCGTCAAGCACGATGGAAACCAGTAGGGTTCCTAGGACCTCTTCGGGTTCCTAGGAAGAGCCCCCCCACGGCTCAAAAGTCGAATGGCATCCCGATGGAATCGCGCGAAGTCCACCAGGAAACCTAGACTTGTTAAACACCTACGAACACAAAATGAAAGTTTTTCCAAAGGCCAAAACAACACATGCAAAGAAAAACACTGTGACACACACTTGAAACATTGTAAATTGTGTCGATGCGAAAAAACTATGCCATACAAACTCCAAAACACGGTTGTCTAAGATTATGTGTTCTAGCCGATAAGATTTACCCGATAAGATGTGCCATGACTTGCATTCGCACGCGACTTGCAGGGAACGATGTTTGTTTGGCAGGGCCGCTTGCTGTCAAACAACAACGAACAAAAAGAAGTCGAAAATGCATTAATGCATAGAGTCTTTCTGTTGTCTGGATGTTTCAGTTCGCCGTTGAAATAGGACTTGTTATAAATTGGATGATCACGCGGATTGCACGAAGAGAGGTTCCCTTGATGATTTGCTTGTTTTCAAATAGTAATGAGCCCCAACAAAAATAAAAACCTGAGGGGGCATCGTTTCCAGATTGTTCAATGAATTATGTTGTGTTAGAATTGGCTACCGATTGCTTACCTGCGCAACGTGTACGAAACGTTACTTTCTTGGTGCTTCGGCTGTTCTCCTCAAAAAACCTCAGTCG